AAAACCTCTCAGAGCAGAGTAGAGAACCAACAAACTCAATCCACTTATGACGCCGGGTCCAGGATTCGAACCCAGGACACATTGGTGGAAGGCGAGCGCTCTCACCACTGCGGCAACCCTGCTCCCCTATGAAGCCAACCTATGCTCCCCTAAGAATAAAGGAGAGGATTGTCAACTGGAGAAGCTTTTGATTGTGTAAAAAATTCTCCTCGCCAGTAAAAATGGAAATGTATCAAGAACAACATTGAGAAATTGTATGCTGATGTTAGGTTGTAAAGGGTTAGTGTCGTGCTCAGGAGCACAAAACAAATGAGTTAAACCAAGGCCAGAACCTGGACCTTTTGATCTGGAGCTTAGCACACTAAGCACTGACCTTCTACAGTGAAAAAGAAAAGACTAAAATCAATGGCCCAATTTGTCACTATGCTAATTGCAGGTCACCTATGACCCCAAAGTGCAAGCAAGGTCAGTGACCTTAGGTGGAGACTTGTTTGATCCTCAGGGAACAGCCACGGGAGGTATGTGCAATTAAAATGATCGCGCATTTCTGCTGGACATCTGTAGCACGTGGAACTAGTACATGCGAACCTGTATTAATCGATTGTTCCCGAAATGTTGTCCCGTAAATACTGTAGTTTTCACCTCTTGGAAACAGTCACCTCTATTGAGTGGTCACTTTTGATCAATTGTTAACGGCCTGTTTGTATTGTTTCCACTTGTGCTGAATGGTCAGTTAAAGTAGAATCACTTAATTTAACTAAGAATAAGTCAAAGTTGTTCCATGTTTATCTCCCGAAATCGATGTAAGGACTTTGAGTTCAAATGTCTGCAACGTACAGCTGGAGATCTTTCTCCTTTGGACAGTTAGGACAAATAATGCGCACGAACATCACGCAAGTCATTTGCAGGTCTACCTGTATTTAACGGTCCCACCCCCCGAATGAGTGTCCTCTCAATACAGGTGCGACTGTGTACTCGTTTTATCAGTTTGAAAAAGAGTGAACGGCCTTAGGAGAGTACCCAACCCAAATTAGCTCACCTCTTCCCCCCGTCGCTTTTCTTTTGGTTTTTATGTGTTCGTTTTGTTTCATGACTGATATGATGACCACATCATATTTCATGCATTTCAGGTGCACGGGCATCACATTCTTCAATCCTGGTCAAGCTGCAAGAATTGAATGAGGCACAAGCCACTCTACAAGACAAGGGTACACAGCTACAGGATATTATCCAGGAGCTGGACACCTGTAAGAAAGTTGTGGAAAAGTAAGCGACTCTAACCTTTTTACTACCATTTTACATGTTGATGAAGACGTCATTAAGGCAATTTTAAAGACAACTGTATCTTCTAATTTGCCCCCAGATATCGCCAGATAAAACAGCAGTATGATTTGAAAGTTCACGAAGCTGAACTTGTCCAGGCTCGCCTGAAGCAGAGCACTCATCACCATCAACTGGAGGAAGTTGAAGCTTTGCAGAAAACAGTTGGTATGTCACCTGCTTGTTTTATTTGTAATTCCTTGGGCACAAACACTCCTAAAGTTCGTAAATGCAGTAACGTCTATATATGCCATGTATGTGTACTACCGATAGCCTCGATAGTCAGTGGATAGTCGGTCGAAAGTCGATCATCGAGGGTTGATCAACAGTCGTCAAGATGCTAGGATAAGGAAGAAGTAGAAAAGGAAAATTTGAATTATAGAACAAAGCATTCAACTGCTAACACTGCGTGCAACTCCATTTCTGGCCAAAGTAAATGCCCTTCACTTCGATCGATGTTCTTCTAAATTCGTGTACTTTGCAGACGAACAGCAAGAATTGATATCAAAAGCGAAAGAAACAATAGCAGTGGCAACTGAGAAGTGCAAAGATGTTGAAAACAAGATGAAGGTGTGACTCTGTTCTGGCTGTTTTGTTTTCTGGTGATGTATTTATTTTATTAGTACGCAGAAATTTGAGTCAAAGTAACTAATGCGACGAGTAGATGGCTAAAACTCAATGAAGAAAATCTGTTTGAAAAAAAGTATTACTCTTTGGAAGAAATCTGCTGGGAATAATTTTTACCTTGTAAACGCATTTGCTTCATGAGCTTTATGATTAAGGGGGTAAGTTTCTATAGAAACTGTGGTGCTGCGTCGGTAGGGAGTATTACAAGATAATTTCAATTGGTTTTATCATCTGAGTTGATAAAACAAATTGGCCAATTTAAAGAGTTTCAAACGCTTACGATGGTCAGTTCATGCTGAAAGTCACGTTTGAATTGATTTCAGGAAGCAAAATCTCATCGCGAAAAAGAACTCAATACAGCCGAGGAAGAAGTGAAAAAGAGTAAGAAAAAAGCTGAGGAGTCAACAAAGAACATGAAAGCAAAACAACAGGTAATTTTAGAAGCTCCCCTTCAGTGATCTGCCATAAAATGAATTCAAACATACTCACCTAACGATTGACAATCTGTAGGAGGTCGAGGAGATGAAGTTGGAAATGGAAGAGCTAAAGAATGAAGGGGCTAAAGTTGATGAGCAAGTAAGCACAGTAATGTTCAGGAAGGCCTGATCATTTTCCTTTAGATTCCCTTTCTATGCACTTCACTCCCTAATATCGATATATATATATTCTCCATACTGTTCTCTATACATATCCTATGGCAATGACTAGGCGAATTTGTTTTACAATCCAGACGCTCTCTAGTTGGTGATCATTCTCTTTATTTTCATGACCAGTGTTTGATTCAGCAGTAATATTGCGAGGAGAAATTCGATGCTAGTCATTCTTGGGACCAAGAGTTAACATTTTGTTGCGTGTCCAAGGAAATAAGAGTAGGGTGTAAAATAAAAGGGAGATATGGAGAAGTTCCTTGGGATATCGTTTAAGCCTTTCATGAGGGAGTGTTTTGAGACATCCCAAAGAACGGAAGCGAAGGAGGCGAGACTGAGCGACATCTGGAATATATATCTTTCTTATCCGCTGTAATTCCTCAGTTTAAGGCGAAGGCACCCCGATGTATGTTCATATTTTCCATGCACGCACTACTGAAAATCTCTCCTAAGGAGAGTTAGATATACTATAACCCGTTTTTTATTATTATTTTTTTTATTTGTTACAGTACTATGCTATTGTTTTGAGTTTTGGGTAATATTTTTAACACAGGTCAAAGCAGTCGATGAAGCAATTTCAAAAGCTGAGGAGCAAATTGAAGAAATTTCCGAGAGGGCGAAGGAAACAAAGGTGCCTTAAATGTTTTACTTGTTAACTTTCAACTTTATGTTTTCGATATGTTTTAGGATCTGACGAATAAGCTCTTGATTGGCGCCAAAAAAAGGTCTCATGCAAAATATGGAACAATCCTGCCCTTTTTCAGCCAACGAGGAGCCACAAAAAAGATTGCAAAACGGAAAAACGCGAGACTCACTCATTGTCACATGTGTGGAACGAACTACGCGATTTCCCATTGTTAGCAAGAGCGTTGATCGTTTATTGATTCTTTGCTGTTACAACGTCTGGTTACTTGGGTTTTTTTACCATATTCATTAGAAAACTGCCTAATCAGTGTATCATAATTTTGTCTTTTCTCGTCTCTTCCTATTAGAAAGCAGTGGAAGAGGCCGCTAAAGAGCTGGATAAACAGAAAGAAGCCCTCAGATCGTGTAATGAGGTATGTTGCTTACGCTACCTCTTCACCTCTCGGTCTTTTACCCTCTAACACCAGCAAAACATGTATCGTTAAAGCGGGTTTAATTGAATGAAAATCAGAAACAGAGAACTGAAAAACTGAATCACTCCATAGTTTTCAAGTAGTCACCAACTTTTATTTTCAATGTGCTAAATTTGAAGTCGACGTATCGGTCTAGGCAGCTTCTTTTGAAGAAAACAATTTCATTCGTGTTTAACAAAACAGCTATTAAATATGTCATAAACAAGTTGAAACCATTGCCGAGGCATGAGACGCAAATCGACGCGCTGTTTATCGTTTCAGTCTTAATTTCATAATAGGTTGATGAACTTAGTACATGTTTATGGTTTGGCGGGAACTTCACGCACGGTGTGTTTTGACGCGAAAGTGCGCATTTCTGTTCTTGTATTACCAAAACTCGGCTTCTTAGGAAGAAATAGGACCCACAATTTGACCTTGCACTGGTCGTAATGTTCTTGTTTTTCGATGTTTGAGGCCATCGGAGAGAAAGTGCAGGAGCAGCGGGACTTACAGAAACAAGGTCAGGATATTCAGCTGGAGCTAAAGGAGATGGATTATAAAGTGAACAAATTTCAACGGGATAGCAAAGAAGC